TATATATTGTTAGTGTTTAAGTACACTTACAGTGTGTTAAATTATCAGTGTACGTTTGTTGCAGATCCCCTTGTACACACACACACACACACACACACACACACACACACACACACACACTTCTGTCTGTCTCTCTTTGAGATAGAAATACTGATCAGAATGAGAGAGCGAGCGGGAATTAAAGTGACAGGAAATAGAGACAAGGACCCCTGCCTTCACACATGACATGTGTAATTAACGCATAACAGCGCTAAACGCATCTGCCCTGAGAGAGGAAGCAGAGCTATTTCAAATGCTAATTTAAATGTAATGATAAGAGTTTGAACTACCTTTTAAAAGTACTCCATTACTCTCTCTCTCGTGCAGCTTTCTAACTTTACAGTTCATAGTTGCTAATAAGAAAGGTCAACCGTTCTGTCTGTCTGTGTCCAATCGCTTCTGTTTCCAATGGAAAATAATTATTGTAATATTGGATAAAAGATCAGTGGAATCTGATTCAGGGATTTGTGCCTTACATTATTATGTTTTAACTTTGATGTATAAGGTAGTCTATTAAAACTTGTTAGCACATTTCTAAACCGTTTTAATATATGGACAGACATGAACTAAATATAATAAGGCTGATATTTATTTAGCAAATTGCAATCTCATATCTCATCCACACGTAAGAGTGAAAGTTCAGTAGGGAACTTAATGATAAACTGAAAACTATAGAATACCAATGCAGCTGCTAATTTCCATAATAGCCATTGCAATCTTCAAAGCGCTGGGCAAGTTAAACATAACATCACTTGGTAATCAATATGTTTAGGTAGAATCTGCTGGCATTCCAATCAATTAAACAGTAGTGGACAGAATTAAGTCTGTACTATGAAACACTTTGTTTTCTGCTTCTGACATACTTTGTCTGATTGTTTAATAACAAAACAAATATCTGCAAACATCAGTACACTGAATAGAACAAACCGCATCAAGTTGCATGAAGATTTTTTTTTCACATTTTACATAATTTATTTACAGTTTCATCCCATATTTGTGTGTGTGTGTGTGTGTGTGTGTGTGTGTGTGTGTGTGTGTGTGTGTGTGTGTGTGTGTGTGTGTGTGTGTGTGTGTGTGTGTGTGTGTGTGTGTGTGTGTGTGTGTGTGTGTGTGTGTGTGTGTGTGTGAAGGAGAAACTACAAATGCATATGCAGAAAGTTAAATCTCAAAACTAACAATGTCTGTTAATCCAAACTTGCTTGTTTGCTTATTTATTTATACATGGTTTATTTATTCACCATTAATTTAAATGAGGGTTTGTACTGTTGTGATATGTGTTAGCTTCTTAATAATAATAATAATAATAATAATAATAATAATAATAATAATAATAATAATAATAATAATAATAATACAATTAAATAAAAGCAAATGTTAGAGGGGCCAACAGGGGGCACTCAACCTGAGGTCTGTGTGAGTCCCAATGCCCCAGTAAAGTGAAGGGGACACTATGCTGTCAGCTTGGCGCTGTCTTTCAGATGAGATGTTAAAACGAGGTCCTAACTCTCTGTGGTCATTAAAAAATACCATGGCACTTCTCGTAAAGACATTGGCTCTTGCGATCATGGTCTCCCAATTATCCCCAACCACTGAACTGGCTCTATCATTGTCTCTCCACTTCATTGTCTTAGGGTGTATGGCCATACACAATAAATACGCTATATAAATACACATTGCTTACTTACTTAAATAGAGCGCTGTTCATTGAAAGCTATTATTGGAAAGCCGATATGGAACTTTTTTAGTACTTATTGGAAAATTCTATCTCATAATACAGTAAGACTAACTACCAATCAATACCAAGTAAAACATTTAAGTTAAATAAACATAAAAAAAATTATGGATTGTTCACAGAAAGTATCCTCTTTTTGACGAATCTAAATGGATTTTTCTTTGGAATCAATGCAAACCCCTATTTTAAGAAGCTTTGTTTGTACTTCTTGTAACCTTGTTTGTATGTCTCGTAATGTATTGTAATGACAAAAATGAACTTGAAAACAATCGCTAAAAACCTTTAAAACCTTTTACTGTGGTATAAATAAAAAAGAGATTATTTGATGTTTGTTTTTTACTGAGTTCGGACTACACAATATGAGCCAGGTTTTGTTCTGAACTGTTTGAAGTAGGGTGTTGCAGTGATAGTGGACGACAACCAGCATCACATCTGAGAGGCTTTATGACATCCCGACAGGTTCCATTATATTGACCAGGAGCAGCACAGCTTCTCTATTGTTTACAGCTTTGAAACATGGTGAAATGAAAAAGAGATGATGATATAAGAGCTGCTAGGTGGAATCATGCAATAGATGAAAGGTTTGTGGGTCTATGGCAACAATACTCGCGACTTTAGGATTTTTCATCAAGGCTTGTTTACACTCTTGTTTCCAGATGTTTATAGTTCAGCCTCTTGATGACATTGCCCTGGTCACTAAATATGGCAAGTGATGGCTAGTCTTAAGTTGTGTATTGCTTGACATAATTAGCGTCTGCTAATATAAAAAAAAATTAAGTCAATATCACATATCTACACAATGTCGGAAAAAGAGACAGACAGCAATTTGTAGCTAAGTGGTTTTCAACCTATGACAGTATTGCGTGTGGGGCGTTATGGATAGAAATTTTTTAATAGAAGTACTGTATAAATGTCTAGTTACAATTTAATGTATTATCTCATAACGAGAATTAAATAATTAATTGTTACTATGCTTTTACTATTCGTTTTATAGAAATCCGCTAATTTAAAGTGTTTTTTTTTTGCAGAATACATGAATGTAAACAGGTATTTTGTTTCAGTTCCCTGTCAGTTTTGACTAAACGTTTGACCTAGAGACCTAAATTTGCAGAAACTAATGCAACCGGATTTAATAAAAGGACCCATGAAATGTTTTGAAATGTGCATTTTTAGTCCATGCTTGACATATCTCAACTAAAACTGGAGCGCATGGCAGGAAATAAAGTAGCTCCTCCCCTTTAAAAAAGCTAATGTTTCTCTACCAGTGAGAGTAGTTTAACTCAAGCACATCAAATTAAAAGCAAATGAAAAGTGTCTTGAAGAGGGCAGAACATGTCAGAAACTTTAGAGCATTTGCTTTATAAGAATTTTTGATGAGAAACTGAAGTTTGAGGCGTAAGGTGTAAGTTTGTTTAAGCAGGGTTTTAGTAACATTTAAGTTTACTTTTTTGTAACTTTTTCAAACTTTTTTGTCTAATCTAACATAAACTGACACCTAACACAAATACACATTCATACAGTTGTAGAGAAGTGTAAAGAAACTAAAATAAGAGTTTGAGAGAGTGTAATGATAAAAAAAAAAAAAAAACTTTTACTAAAAAAACTTTACAAATTTTGTAAGACCAAACCAAGCAAACCAAAATTAAAAATGTATTTAACCCTTCTATGGTCTCTTTAGGGTTACATTTAGTTCACACCAGTTCAGTGATAGTCTGGAAGTGTTACAGGAAGTCCCTCTGTTGAGCACATGGTTAGCTGGTGGTCAGTCCTCGTGAGGCTTGGAGTGGGGTGGAGTCTGTCGTTTTCAAGTTTTGAAGCGGCAAAATAGCTTGTCATGTTGACTACTGGTTATGCCCCGCACTAAACCTAACTATACTCTTGACAAAAAGGAAAATGAAAGGTATCGGAGATGGGTATGTCTGAGCTGTGCGATTAATCCATTTTATCTGGGTCCCAGCCTGCTCTCTGGATTCCTCTAGGGTTTTCTTGGATTATGGCCTGGGTTCTAGTCTCTTCACTGGAACCAAAAAAAACCTATCCTGGGCTGGAATGGAAAAACTCAATCTCCTGGGGTCTGTGTCAGTTCTCTTTTGGATTCTGGTCTGGGTTCTGGTCTGGGCGGTGGCCTTGGGCACAAGCTTTTATAAGAATGGTTTTGTACTCACCCTCCAGAGCGAGTTGACCAATAAAAAGTTATCTCCCCCGAGGCACGTTTATAGTCATTGTTCCAAAGCAGGGTGATTTGCTTAGGCATTCTGGGTGTAAGCCGATGCAAACATGTTCAAAGCTTCATAAAATGTTAATATGTTGCACACGCATTAATGTAAAATGTAAACAATCATTAATATTAAACCATAATATTAATAGATGAGCAAGATACTTGTTGCAAAACACCTGATAACACATAAAGAGACAACAAAAGCTTGCATTAAAACCATCAGTCTTAAGCAAGAAGCTTATAGAGGTTCTCTGTGTGTCCAGGTCTGAGCATTCCTTCATGTCGTAAATACCTTGGAATTGTATTACAACTGACCATCCAGTCTTTTCCTGGCTATGAGTTGACTGTATGTTATGTTGAATAAAACAGAATAATTGTGTGTCTGATTGCCCATATTCATTACATCTACTAAGACAGGAAGGCAGGGCGGGACATAATGTTGCTCCTCCCCTAAAATATACAGCCAATGATGTTTTTTTTTTTATTTTATTTTTTTATCACAGCTCTACCAGTGAGAGTGGTTGAGCTCAACCACATCAAATAAAAGCAAATAAAAAAGTCTTGAACATGTCAGATACTAGAGAGCATTTGATTGGTCAGAATGTTTGATATGAAACTGAAGTTTGAAGTGACTTAAAAAAAATCATTTATTTGAATGTTTTTATCTTCTGAAATTGAATTTTGTTACTAATTTGGACCACACTAAATATTAGATTCTAATGACGGACATACTGATGCTAACATTTAAGCAACTTTATTGTGACATGACAGGGACTTTAAAGATGGCTAGCGGAGGCTAGTCTGGATGCAATGTGTACTCTGACATGTTTAGTGTCCATGTTGTGACCAAAATGTTGTGAAGTCAAATCACAAAATCACAAAAACCCAACACGATGCAAGACATGAAGTAAAATAAATTGTTTATCCTAACATCAGAACTATATAATGTGAATAAATGTCAAAAAGCAAAATGTATATACTGTATAAAATTTCATTTGTTCTCTCATCCAGAGCCCATGCGTCCCCTCAGAGGTCTGACGGCTACGGAGATTCAGTCGCGTCAGCTGCTTCTTCAATGGGAGCCGGTTGGTTATAACCTGACGCGCTGTCATACATACTCCCTGTCGTTGTGCTACCGCTACTCCACTGCCACTGGAGGAGGAGCCGGTGGGAATAACGCCACAGTAAGGGAGTGTCTGTCAGTGGAGAGGAACACCTCCCGCTTCACACTTCGAGATCTGCCTCCATTTCACACTGTTCACGTGAGACTGGCACTGGCCAATCCAGAGGGCAAGAAGGAGAGCCGAGAGGTGACCTTTCAGACAGAGGAAGACAGTGAGTATACTGAGTCTTTATGTTTTGCATTGAAATCAAATTTGTATGTATACATGTAATTATGCTTGCATATTGAATATTGCTCTTTTTAGTATAATAATTAGTTTCAATGCAATTTATATTATTATTATTATTATTATTATTATTATTATCATTATTATTATTATTATTATTGATAAAAATGTTTTACTTCTTTTCTTCTCTCGTACTATTTTGCATGTGTTCACTCAAGGCCGCAAGCCAAGTGCCTTAGTGTCCCACCAGTGTCGATATACAGCTATATCACACTGCTACAAGTGAGATATTTCATTTATACAACACTTCAGTTCAGTTATTAAAAAAAATCTAGTCTAAAAATCCTTTTGTAAGAGTAAACTATTTTTTCTGTCATTCATTCACATCTGCAGCTGACATCAGAACAGCAGAAAACATTACTATTTCATGTCACTTTAGTGCTAGTATTTGAATATTTTTTTAGCATAATGTCTAAAGTTATAACAAAACAGGTAACGTTGCTGACATTTTAATATTAAAAGGCTGAGCGGCATGAAATTCCATCAGTCCTGAGACGTTTCCCAGTATTTCTATGTGGCAATTGGGAGATCACAGCAAGTAACGTCAAAAAGGCCAAAGCAAACACTAGCAGATTACTATATAAACTGGTATAAATACAACACTACAACAGACAAAAAAACGAGATCAAATTAGAATGATCAGCTGTAGTTTGAAATTACGTCGAGTTTTTATAGTTATTATGCGGCCTCTGTCCCCATCTTGCAGCAGAACGTCAACAGTCCGTGCTTTGCTCAGTGACAGGCGGATGACCGCTGATGCACTGAATCTCCAATATATATATACAGTATATATATATATATATATATATATATATATATATATATACAACAGTTCAATCTGGTTCTTCAATCTGATTGGCTGATACTCGTGCAATATTTTGCCAGTAACATCACACAAAGGCCTCTTCACCCTTCACTGTGTACACTGTGTATTACTCCGCCCACATACAGCCAGCAACAAGCAGAGATGCTACAGTTTGACAAATATTACTGTTGTTAGACAACAAAATGTACTTTTAGGGCTTTTTAGTTGAGAATGTAGTTGTTTAGATTGCAACTGTGCAGTTTATTTGTAAGAATAGTGTACTATTTTAAAATATTTAGAATTTCTGAGAGACAGCTCGTCGGCGGCCAAAGACGTTTGACATTGTCTATCCACAAGATGGCACCAGGACCGTATAATAAGCCCTTGCTTAGAGTGTTTTCCTGAGCGTGAATAAGAAGCTGAAAAACGGAAGCGTCACCGTTTTTAAAGTAGACCGGATAGAGTCAATAAGAAGCTGCAAATAAGAAGCTGGATTAAGCCTCGTTCCTCATTATCGCAAACAAAGCAGCAGTCTGTTAAGTTAGTGATTGCTCTGTTTTTTTTCTAGGTTAATTATTGTGATATTGTAATGGTCGCTTAATGTTTTTTATGCATTGTGTATGCCTGTGGTTGTTTTACCTTTGTGATGTAAGCAGGCATGTTTGGGAACTCAGTTCACTTCAGCGAGCTTTGAGGAAAAGTGTGATGGTCACTCTACCGCTGTATCATTCTTTTATTTCAATAATGTAACATTTTTTTTTGCAATGGATGTTTGAGAGTCTTTTTCTTTTCCTTTTGCCTACTCATTGTCGTTAACTGGCATGTATGTAATTCACAGCACTTGGGAGAAACGCATAAAGGCCGATAGGAAGAGCAAAATAGTTTCTGTCTCCTTTTTTTTAATTCCATAAAGTCTCCAGGTAAACGCTGGTACGTGTCACAATACCGACGGCAACATAGTAATAGACTGTAGGGAGAAATCTCTGTAGACGTATGGCACTTCTTGTCACGTTCAGCCTTATAATCTTAAAATGTAAGCAAAATTCAGCTGTTTTGTCATCACCGTGAGGGGGTCAGTTCTTAAATCAAAAAATCAGTCCTTGGTATATAAAAAACATGCTAATATTAATAAATCAAGCCCTAAATAAACAGAATATGTACAGATACTGTACATTTATAGATATTTTATTAAGACAATGTTGTTTTGATTGAAAGCATTTTTCATTTCACTTCAAGGTCAGTTTTTAAGCCTAAAAGCATTTAATCATTACCACATTCCTTCATAGATTGTAGTGGTGCAATTAAGGTTTCACTTTTGATTAAGAATTATGTAATAGTACCCATTATGTGTGTGATCTTCAGAAACTTTCTGAATTTGAATAAACTTCCATTAACCCAGAGGTGTTTTTTTATGGGTCAGTAGCCATAACCCATCCATCTTTGCAAAGGCATGTATTTATCTGAGCAATTATGATGTGGCGACCGCACCAGAGCCCAGTTTGCCTGCAGTCCTCAAACTCCAATTATAGCAACAACACAAATATTGACTCACAGAATACCGTGCTTCAGCATAATTAAATGGAAGATCATACTTTCAAATGGAAGTATATGAAAAATTAATAAGCTAAAGCCACCAGCAAAATGGAATAAAGATTTTTGCTTATTTTTGCATTTTTATTTACAGCGTGTGTCAAGCGGCGCATGTTAGCAGGAGGTCATTTTCATGCAAATGTGTTAAGATGAAGGTCAAGTGAATAAAAGAAAACATATGAAAATGAACAAGGCTCAAAAAGAATGCTCTCCATTTATCATTCCTGAAGTTAAAAACATATTTTCTGCCTGGTTATTTATTTATTTATTTATTGTGCAACAATATAGCTTGTGTGCATTATGTTTGTTTGGTTCACTTGAAACAACGTCAGGAAAAATATTAATGAGTTAATTAGTCCTGCAAGTAATGTTAAATTACTGATAGTCAGCACGGATGCAGAAAGACAAAGTTAATGAGAAATAAGAAGCTATAATCACAGACTTTTTGACCTTTTTAAGCACATGTATAGGAAAATGTGTGGAATGTCAAGATTTCTGGATAGAAAAGTTCTTTAGAATGGCTCTTTTATGCCACAGTACCAACATTATTACATGCCATTAATACTGGCATGCAAAACTGTTATCATAACATTAGATACATTTGAACCCTTACAAATTTGTAAACATCATTTGTTGTTTGAGTGTTTGGTGTTTAGCTTGAATTTGAGCAGTATACTTTTTGTGGGTAAAGAGGCACAAAACAACAAATATAATATACATAGGTTATTTTGTAAATAATTAACTTTTGGTGAGGTTAAAAATTATTAAGCTCATTTCAGTATTTTGTATTCCATCAGTATTTCATATCAGTGTACTAGTGTGTACAATTGTTAACTTGATTAATCAAAGTATGCTCATTCTCTCTTGTGTCATAGAAATCCTGCTGCATCAATTTACATATCAGTTGTAGTTTCTAAAATCGAATATGAAATAGAATAAATTCTGACTATAGTGCTATAATACTGTTGCAGAGCTTATCATGCAAAGATGGATCTTTAAAAAAAGGTTGTTGTAGATTTTTATGTTTTCTTTCATAATTAAATCTTGCTCTTGCCTCACTTTTATATACAGTAAGAGGTGACAAGCCATAAAATAAGATAGAATGTACCCGTGTATCTAGTTCAAGCTTGACACTTGGTAGCATCTGTTTTGTTTATGGAAGCTTTGTGTTCAATGAGGTAATAAAATATTCAGACTCGAATCAATATTTTACAACCAGTTATTTACTTATGTGAAAAGTAGCTATGCAATAAACAGGATACATTTGTTGGATGTTATTAAACAATAACAATAATAATAATGATAATAATAATAATAATAATAATAATAATAATAATAATAATGGGTTATGGTGGTGCAGTGGGTAGCACGATCGCCTCACAGCAAGAAGGTTGCTGGTCCGAGCCTCGGCTGGGTCAGTTGGCATTTCTGTGTGGAGTTTGCATGTTCTCTGTATGATTGCTTGGGTTTCCTCGGGTTGCTTCGGTTTCCCTCACAGTCCAAAGACATGTGGTATAGGTGAATTGGGTAGGCTAAAATAGGTTATGTGTGTGAAAGAGTGTATGGATGTTTCTCAGTGAAGCATTGCAACTGGAAGGGCATCTGCTGCGTAAAACATATTCTGGATAAGTGGGAAGTTTATCCGGCTTTGGTGACCCCAGATTAATAAAGTAAATAAGCCGAAAAGAAAATAAATTAATAATAATAATAATAATAATAATAGCAAGAAAAGTGGTGGTTTGATCTTTGTTTTGTTAAGGCACTTTCTGTAGTATTGTATAAAAAAGGCAATGCAAAAATTTTAATACAAATGTGTAAAAATGTGTTATGCCTCGTTGAGGTGGTTTTGGACTTGTGAGAAAGATTGTTAATAATTTTTTTTTATAATAATAAATTAGTATAATATTTATACCGTTAAAAAAAATCCTTAAAGTGTTTACATATTTAAATCTTAATAATTAAGTTTTATTTCCCTGTTACATGATATATTTATAATAATAAAGTCTGTCCACATAAAACTGTGAACTGTGACATAGTCAATTTTTTTGTTCATCTAAATTCATATTTTTTTTACTATATTCACAAGGTTAAAATAAAATGCAATATAATAAAATAAGAGTGGCGGTATGGCGGCACAGTGGGTAGTGCTGTCACCTCATAGCAACAAGGTCCCTGGTTTAAGCCACGGCTGGGTCAGTTGACATTTCCGTGAGGAGTTTGTATGTTCTCCCCATGTTTGCGTGGGTTTCCTCTGCGTGCTCTGGTTTCCCAACAAGTCCAAAGACATGCGGTATAGGTGAATTGATTAAACCAAATTAGCCGTATTGTATGTGTGTGGACGTTTCCTAGTGATGGGTTGCAGCTGGAAGGGCATCCACTGCATAAAACATATACTGGATTAGTTGACTGTGGTGACCACTAACTAAAAAGCAACTAAGCTAAAGGAAAATAAATGACTAAATATTTAAATAAGATCAACTACTTTTCTTTTCCTAAATATACAAGCTTATTTAATGTATACAATATACTCTGGACCCTTTACTGAAATAACTACCTTTATTTAAAAAAAACGACATCATTACCATCAAATAAACGTTCTCATACCGTGAAATACATTTTTGGTCATACTGCCTAGCCCTACTGAACTTTTTTTTTTTTCTGTTTTTGCAAACTTTAAAAATATTTACTTTATATGAGGATGGAGACCTGGCTAGTGACTCTTAATGAGACGATTTCAGTCTGTAGCCATGCTGATTCTATGTTCTGGATGAAAGTTGTGGATACTTTATGAGTCCAGCACCAACCATTCATCCTTTTTTTTCAATTTACTCTATTTTCTTCCACACCATGCATTGTAAAGAAGACAAATGGTCTGTCATGGATCTTTGGGCTTCCAGAGCATCAAATTGCCCTTCTAACCTGCATTCCCTCTCTTCTAGTCTGTAGAGGTGTTGTTTCACCTCTACCTGTTGCATCTCGACCTTCATCTCAGCTGGGTCTGATACTCTGTGTTAGTAAGATGGATCTGACTGTACTCTGAATGTTTTCTCTCGTTTTCTGCAGTCCCAGGAGGCATTGCACCGGAATCTTTAACCTTCACCCCACTGGATGATATGATCTTTCTGAAGTGGGAGGAGCCTCTGGAGCCCAATGGTCTGATCACACAGTATGAGGTATGTGTTAAGCTGAAGTTAAAGATGTTCATTTTTTTTTTCCAGTTAGGTATTTTTTTAAATGTAATTTAACACTATTTTGGTCTTTTATATAGCATATGTATATGTATGCATGTATGTATGTACAGTATGTGTGTGTGTGTGTGTGTGTGTGTGTGTGTGTGTGTGTGTGTGTGTGTGTGTGTGTGTGTGTGTGTGTGTGTGTGTGTGTGTGTGTGTGTGTGTGTGTGTGTGTGTGTGTGTGTGTGTGCTAAATTCACATTTAATACTTGGTATAAACCTGAAACACTGTCATGGTTTTTACTAATATTCATCAATTGAACTATTGTGTGTTTGAAGAGATGAATTAGTGCTTTTCAATAATAATTTGCATCATCGTTGACTTAAATGCAATGTTCCTAGTTTTGCTTTTATAATTATATTTTTTGGAGGTCCCTTTTAATGATTTAAGTTCATTCAAGGTAAAAAAGAACACAAAAAATAAATCCTTTAATATATATATAGCTTTACTTTGCAGAGCAAAAATGTTTTTTTCAATTCTCTGGTCTCTTTAAATTGCTCTTTTCTAAAACCCCATACAGTACCTGCACTTACTGGTTAGATTGCCTGGTCTGTTATGATTGTCTACCACCTACAGTGTGTTTCAAAAACCAAACGTCCATTATCATAGCTGAAATTTAGATCTGGAGCTTTCCTCAACACTTATAGAAAAAGTAATAAGAACAGTAACAATTGCACATGTTTTTCCACAGCAATTCAAGTCCAAATCTGAGTTTTTCCAAAGTGCATGCAAAGTGGATTTGCTTTGGCAAGGCACAGAAAATAACATCTTCTTGACATGTTGGCAATGGAAACCAAACTTTTCCAGGCCTCAGCTACGATTAAGTGTTTTGGGGTCAAAGTATACATTGTTCAGGCAGCCAGTTAGAACCAATGGAACCAATGAAACCTTTGGATGTTCATTGAGATACTTTAGACAGAAGCAAAATATGTGACATTGTGGTTTTTTTTTTTGTTTTTTTTTTGCTTTTGCTTTATAGTAGACCTATTAAGTAGGCTAATAAATAGTTATTTTTTTTAAAACACAGTAACATTGCTGTAAATGTTGGACAACACATGGCAAGCTTGACAATGGAAGGTAATGAAGTGTTTTAGAGAAAAAGTGAACCAAAGGATTTCTCAAGATTTGCTTAACCACTTAAACTCTGTGGACCGTGGTGTTCCCATGGCGCAGAAATGAAAACAATACATTTATGATCACTAAGCAACCCCAGATAGCACAGACAGCTATCATCTCTTACCTTATGCTGTGTGCTTCAAGGCCATTCTCCTTTGTTTTTAAGGTTATGTGCATAAGTAATCCTTTCATATGTCTGATGCGGTCCAAACATAGTTAATTATGTTTGATCAAACAAAAGAATAGTGAAATATGAATCGATCCCTGTGGCTTGTATGGCACCTCTCATCAGTTGGAATACAATAACTTATGCATAGATTATGGTAGAGACATTTTTCTTTTTTCCTATGATTACTGACATGTGCAGGAACCATCAAAATTAATTACAGTATGCTAGACCACACAGTACCTAAAAAGTACACTTTCAAATTTGAGTTCATAAAAAAAATACAAAAAGTGCCTCTTTTTTAGGCATTTATTATAACACAGACAACACATACAGTTATTTTAAACACTTTCAATAGTGTTTTATGAAAATTCAAAGGTTTTTTTTAAATGATACCAATTTTTTGCATTTACACTTCTGCATGTGGATTTGGGAAGCTTTTAAATTTGGGTAGGCAAAATCCAGGCGGAAATCCCAAAATAGCAGCAGAATTTAACTGGTTAAGATTCCCCAGCCAGCTCAGGTGCTTCCAGGGAATGGTCATGCCATTATAAAAGTGCATGGTTAAGATCTGAGTTGTTTAATATAACAATTTTCACTGCCTGATTGAGATATGAAATGAAGTGTGTATCCCACCAGACAATATGCACTGCATTAAATTACATTGATTCATGCCATGTTTTTAAAATATAGAGATTTATTTTATCACAGTATTTTTAACTGATATTTTGCACTTGAACAACTAAATTAATGCCGAAATCTGTTTAACTGATTATATTTAAATTAAATGGCATTAACAATGCTGTTAAACGAAAGTTTATAAAATTAAAAATATTCACAGAAATACTTCACCAGAAGTTTATTGTTGTGCATATAGCCCATTTCATGCAGAGCTGACCGCAGCAAAAATGGCTGAATAGGACATACACTAACCTACAGTACATATTATTCAGTCAAAAGATGGAGCCAAACAGTCAAAAACAGTAGTGTGACAGACAAGCATAAAAATGTGAATGTGAATGCATTCACTGATGGTCAAGATGATCTGAAGTAACTGGATGAGCCTTTGTAACACATCTAGGAATGTGTTAAACCAGAAATATAATTGCAGATAATTTGCATTAAAGTATAGAGACACTTCAATTTAAGGATCAAATATCAGAGCAATGTTGTTTATAAAACTGTAGCTTAAGATATATAATTCATTTATTAGAAATATTTGAGCCCAATGACATATTTACAGAATTTCACATTCACACAGAATTTGACGGGCACACGGAGCTTTCAGCATTAGCTGCAAGGTGTTTTCTCCTGCATTTCCTTCATTTTTTTAATCCTTCATCTTAGTCAGCAAGTCATTAGTGTGTGTAAACTATCTCCACCCTTCACAGAGTCTAGGTGTTCTTATGCTAATCATGTTGCAGTTCATTCTGCAGGCTTCAATTAGTTGAGGGACAAAGATAATTGCTTATTTGCCTTGCAGAAGCTGTCGGATGGGGCAGTTGTGTTTAAGTGCTTCAGTCTGGTAATATTCACTGCCTCGTCCCTCTTCAATTACCTCAGCTGTCAGCATGTACACATGTAAGCTTCTGCCTACACTCAGTGCTCGTTTGAGGTTGATGCGTGTAGCTTTATGTTCACTGTGCTGTTAGTTGTTGTTGACTGGGGCTGAACTCTGTTCTCTGTGCTATTAGTTTTTGTTGATGGACTGAACTTTGCTGATGGATTTGATGATGGCTGCTCAGTGGTTGAATTGCTGCATTAGTATTTTAATAAAAATAAATTTCTAAACAAAGTGTTTAATTTCTACAAATGATAACTGTGAGGTCTTAATGTTTCTCTGCACATTGGGTGGGACATTCTGACCATTTTTTACAGGTTAATTGTACAGTGTCCGAGCTGAACTATTTGAATCCTCACTTTTAAAGTCTTTTTTCTATACAATTACTGTATTAAAAATGGGAAATAAAAAGGCCACAAAAGTACAGCAACATGAATTTGTAGGTACAAAATGCTTGTATTGAGATGAATTTCATTTTGCCTTTAGAAATGGCTGAAGTATTTGTGTTGAGCAAGGTGCAGGAAACATTGCTCTGTGAATATAAATCCATATTGACATGATAATATAATCCTGAAGATGGACCCTGCAGATTTGTCAAATATATTTCACATACATGATACAAATTCTCTATTTCAACACACCTCAAACATATTCTGAATTCGGAGCCGAATATTAATTAAATTAAATTAAATTAAATTATTAAATGTCTTCAGCTTAGTCCTTTAATTCATCAACGGTCGGCACAGCGGAATGAACCACATTTATTCCAGGATATGTTTTACACAGCGGATGCCCCTCCAGCTGCAACCTAGTACTGGGAAACATCCATACAGACTCAATTACACACATACACTAAGGCAAATTTAGTTTATTCAATTCACCTGTACTGCATGTCTTTGGACTGTTCCGTTGTTTCAAGGTGTTATTTCTGTTAGTGCTAGCTTTTTATCAGTTTGAAGCCGTATTGATGTGAGGTGATCGTGTTACCCACTGCACCACAGTGACACCACTTTTGGACATTTTTATTTTTATCCATTTCTCAAATAATAATACTAGGATTCGAACCACTGTGAGGTGAAAGTGCTAACCTCTGAGCTTCCTCTAAATAAATGTTTTGTAACCAAACATCTTTTGCAATAGAAAGATGATACATTTAAATTACTGTAATTTACTTTCAATTAATTAGTAATATTTTTTTTTCTAGCATATTTTTGGAGTAGTTTTTTTTTTTCTGCATTGTGATCTTAAGTTATTGTATTAGATCCAACTCCTGTTTTGTTTTTATTTATGACTAATTAAATGGTTTGCACAAGCATCTCAATATATAGCATTCTATAAAAAATATTAGTTTAAAAGAATGATATTTCAGGGGTGTACCAATTTATGTTGGTCACTGTATATTTAAACAGTTCACAGGTGACACTGAATAAACTTCTAATCTGTATATTTTCATTCTGATGGGCAGTGAACAGATCAGAAGCTCCATGGTCATGCATGGCTGCTTCCCATTTTCAAAATAAGAGTCCCACATGCATAATAATTTAGCAGTTGCCCTTGAGTTGCTGCCATGTAATTGTCTGATTAGATATTTGCTTTTATAAGCAGTCAAAAAGGTGTATCTGAAAAGTAAGTTTATCTTGGCCACTACATTCCATGTTTTCTAATGTCATATATAGATGTATAAAATACACTTTAAGCTTTGGTAATCATTTAATAGAGTGCTCTGCAGACCGTATTTAGATTACTGAGACTTTCAGTCCATTCGCCATTCATCAGTTATGTTTTCATGTAGTTCAAAAAGTAAAGCCTGGTGCTAGTCAAAACAAATATATAAAGCAATAAATGAATAAAACGATCACATATGCATCTTTAATGCAGATTATGTAGCTTTGGATAAAACTATCTGTCAAATGCATTCAAAAATCTGATTTATTAATACAGATTCTACCAAATCAAACAATCTTCTTACAAACCAGATACTGCTTATATTCGAATTAGCCCTCATTTAATGTTGAGTGGAATGAAATTTACATTGAGTCTTCAGACAAATTGTTTGTCATCCTTTGTAATCTCATTCTTAATATCCTTTTCTTTCTCTTCTCTTCTGAGGTTTCTTTGTTTACAGCATTGATTATATTTTAAATCAGTAGCATTAGGAGAAAGATATGAATCTTAAATATGAAACTTGCGAGCTGTATTCAAAGAAATGTTTTAATGATATATAAAATCATGTTCCATGTGATAATTGTAAATCAGCTAAATGTGGTAATTTGTAAATCAGCTCCTTTCTGCATGATTGTCCATTTTAATGGAGTGAAAAGACACTTTCAAAGACTGTGCACTAAATTAATGGAAAATTGCTTTATATTCAAACTCAGCTCCAGAAACATAATTGATGAATAATAATGATCACAAGAGCAATATTTGGAATTGCAAATTTGGAAAATTAAGAAAAATAATTAAATATAAATAAATACATCAATTGTCATTTTGAGTGGAAACAAACAGAAAACGCACTTGTATGTTGGCAAGATGAATTCTTGTTTTAAAGTAAATAATTGAATAAATAAAGGAAGCTTTCAAGGCTTTGAAGGTTTATGTGAATCACAGACAGAAAGAACAGTGTAGCCATATCAACAGCTTCATAAAAGCCATGCTTTTTTAGAAATTCCATTGAGACGATAAAAACAACTCAGTATAAAAAATGTAAAAATTAAAAATAAAAAATAAAAACGTAATGGAAAGCTTTATAGCACAGATCAGATCTGATCAACTGACCATATCTGTTCACCATGGTTTGAATGGTCATGTTATTAAAATAATTTCTAGAAAAAGGTATTATTCAATTTGATTTCAGAGTTTTATAACTCACAATTAGGTGTTTACAATTGTATGTATAGTTTGTATAAATGTAGAATTCTGAATTGAAATAAATGTTACAGTATTAGCATATGCTTATGTATTGAATGAATTGTTGTAAATGCAGTTGCCATTAAACTATCTGTATTTTACATGTACAATATTAAACGGAAAGAAAATTTAAAGTTAAATTAGCTGGTTACTTAGTTTAATTTGTTGTTTCTAACTTCTCAAACACTTTTTCTTAGATATTCGCATCAAAGCAAACAACAACTGTGGTTTCTCTGTCTCGTTCTCTAATTCATTTATTTATTTATTTATTTTGCATGTGTAATATTTCATCATAGTATTTCCGAATCACAAAACTAATTGATCTAGAGAGGGTAAATTTTTTTTTTTTCCTGTCTTCTTGTGTGTACTTTGCAATCATTTTTGGTAATTAAGCAGCTTAAATGAGTCAAAATTTGTAGGTGGCTCTTTCGACTTGAAAATCATTGGTGTGAGATAATTCCAAAATAAAGGTGCTGTGGGCGCAGTTTCAACAGATTCTTTAAATGGGTTATAGGGGAGACAGTTATTTTAAATGTGAGGTGTGAACGCCTGGTGCTAAAATAAGAGATTCTTCATACATTACCTTTGTATTGATATTTATAGGGATGCCTTCAAGATTTCAAAAGAATCAAAGCCTCTATTTTTGATGCCCACTGGTTTCCACATCTTTATTGGATATCACACTGGTGTAATTTAAATATGCATATTTTATATTAGCAAGATTGATGTGTGTGCCTTTGACATTTTATGTACAATAAAATGCTAAAAATAATAAATAAATAAATAAATAAATAAATAAAAACTTTGTTTAATACTCATTTAACATGGATAATTTGACAGCTCTCCTAATATGATAAATGGAAAAGATACATATGTAAAAAGAAGGACACGTCTTGAAATTTAGCAGTAAAAAAAAAAAGTGGGGAGTAGTTGGCTTTCACAATATTATTTGAATGTGGATGTTTAGTTTTTTTGAATGGGCTACATGATGAGTTTTTTCATGCCCTTAATCTTCTATGAAGTGCTTTTGCTATTTTATTGACAACGGTTTTTGTTTGCTTAAGTGTTTATTGTTTCTGGTAGCACCATGTGTGCCTTCAAAAGAGAACGTAAATGAACATAAAATACTTTGTTATGGGTTTTGGCGAGGTGAAGTACAGTAGCTGAACTCAGAATCAAGGCCTGACTTACAAAGACTCATCCTCTTCTGTTTCTCCTTTTTTTAGATCAGCTACCAGAGCATTGAATCATCAGATCCCAGTATCAACGTTCCTGGCCCACGGCGCACTGTTTCCAAACTTAAGAACGAAACATATCACATGTTCTCCGGGCTTCATCCTGGCACTACATACCTGGTGTCTGTTCGTGCCCGTACCGCTAAAGGCTTTGGCCAGACCGCCTTAACCGAAATTACCACCAACATCTCAGGTGAGGAAATATGCAATGCCATAAAGAATTATGGGAAATGAGACATGCCAGAAGGCCAACTTTGCTGGCTTCCTGAATCTAAAGTACTTAATTATAAGTTTTCCACTTGAAGCTAGCTGGGCTTTGGTTTTATCGCTGGAATGAATGTAAGATGCCTGCAAGGGTCTTTTAATTGGTTCAGGATTTATTCAGACTATTTGGGCTTCATTTAGACCTAATCTTACCAAGGCACAAACTATTCTTTTGGCGAGATTGACTCTCTGTATAGCGGAAATATTGATACCAAGGTTTACTGAGGCTTAAGCAGACAAATCGAGGGCAGAACAAAGTAAACTTGAAGGGAGAATGGTGAGCCCTTTGGGGAAATCTTTTTTTTTTTTCTTTTTTTCCTTTTTCCCGAGTGAACAGGCTCATGGAGGAAGTCCCTGGCTTTGCATCTTGCAGCTCAATAAACTGATAATTAATGAAACGTTGACTCATTTTGGTAGTTCAGACCAAACAATTAACTCAATTTAGACTATGCTCTTTAACACTAGAACTGCCAGAATTCTATAATTGGATGGCCATATTGTTCGTTTATATAATTTATATAGAATTTTGTGACACGTCATATTTACTTTCATAGCTTTTACTAAGATTTTAAAATTAAGCTTTGAATTTCTGTCACATTTTATGAAGTCATTACCCTAAAATACAATACTTTCTGTAATACAGCCCATAAATACTAGACCTGACTATAGTAATACAGACTATAGTTACTAGACCGTCTCTGAATGTGTGTGCCTCACTTTTTCCTGCATGTGGGAGAACAAAGTTTATTTACCGCAGTGAAAATGTTTGTGACAAGGTTTGAAAGACATTTCTAAAGTTTTGTTTTTGCTATCTGAAAGTTGCTAAGCAACAGAGTCATGCATGAGAAAAAGTGGATGCTGAAATGCATGCGGTCAAAGGTTGAAATAGTCAGATTGTCTGTAATTTTTGCAAAATAACAATGCTAGAATGAAATATACAAACATTAGTACAAGTCAGCATGCTATAGTTATATGGGTATTATTTTAAGTTATTAAATTACAACTAACTATAATAACTATAATAAAATTGATGATAATAATGATTATAAAATTTCACCCAAAAAAGGAAAAATCTTTCAGCAATACTTAATTATTTTAGTATTATACGCTCATTGATATGATCTTAATTGTATATTTTAAGGTTACAATTGTATGATTTTATATGAATCAGTCACCAGAGATTTATACTGTATACACTGTAAAATCAGGCCATCAAGTTTCAAATGCTAATACATAAGGAATAATATAATACAAATAAAACAAGCATGTGCATATACACATTCATACATAATAAACATTAGTCACCTGTTGTGTCATACCTGAGAAGCTGGTGAAATGTCTGCACTTCGCCCATATAACCCATGTGTATTTCAAGTCTTCTGAAACTTTACATTAGCTCTACAGGGTGAAAAAAAAAAAAAAAAGGTTTATGTATGAACATTTTCTTTAAATATCCTCACACAAACAGTAAGTCAGCTGTATGTTGCATGAGCAAAATTTCCTTTGTGTTTCTTGTGAGGTTTGCATGTCAATCTTAACATCCCACGGTGCTCTTATGAAACAGATCTAACACTGTAATGGCAGCTCTCGTTCTTTGTACACTAGATTTTATGCATGTTTAGTATGCTGAAGGCTAAGACATTGACCCGTTTCCTTGTACCGGCACACTAATTGACTTCCGATAATAAGTGGGAATGGGAGCAGGAGTTCTGTTCTGTATTCGCTCCTCAAGAGACTTTATAAAGGACTGTGGATTGCTCTCATCCGCCTCCATTTCTGTGTTTCAATGCCCTTGGTGGTTCGTTCTTTCTAGGGTGTTTTTTTTTTTCTTCTCTGTGAAGCAAAGGATTCAAGTCGGCAGAAAACCAAGACTAATTTGAAAGATTTCTTGTGTATGTTAGAGTTGCTGGGTGATTCGGGTGTTATAAAAAAAAAAATACATCAAAAATAAAACTTCTGTTGTTATTTGCTTATCTTCATGTCATTTTAAACTTGTATTTTAAGCCTTTGTTTACTGAATAGTTTCCCCTCCACTGAGCTGTTAACTGAGAACTGAATGATAGAACTGAACTCACTGACGGATTGATTGAGTTACTGAGTTGCTTGAATTATTTTTTTTTTTTTGTGCAATTTGTGGACAAGCATGGGAAAAATAAAACATTGATTCACTGGTCCAGTTCTCAGATCACTCAAGCAGTCTGTATGCTCTTGCTCTCTCAATCACACACACGCACACAAATCAGAAGATAAATATTTTGCTCTTTCTTTCTTCAAGCCCCTGCATTTGATTATGAAGATGTTCCTTCTCCACTGAGTGAATCTGAAAGCACCATAACGGTCCTCTTGCGACCAGCCTTGGGGAGAGGAGCACCTGTTAGGTAAGATATAAGTAAACATATAATGAATGAATGAATGAATGAATGAATGAATGAGTATTGGCAAAGAATATAATACATATACTTAAAGGTTTAATACATACTTGTATTGTTGAAATATTTATTTATTTATTTATTTATTTATTTATTTATTTATTTATTTATTTATTTATTTATTTATTTATTTATTTATTTTTGTGTTTGTTTATTTATTGGTTATTTGTTTGTTTGTTTGTTTGTTTGTTTACTTACTTATTTACATATTTATTTGATGGTTATTCGCAATGTAACAAAGAGCAAAGTGGAGAAGGACTGATAAAGCTGATATCAGCTTGTATATGATGTTAATTTGTATTCTGTAAAAACAAACACTAAAATATAGCTAACTTAAATATACTAAAAAGCAGAAATATACAAAAAATGCACAATTGTTTGCAAAATAAATGTATAAATATAACTGGTGATTTTGCTGACATTTTTAAATTATAAGGATAATTGAATGAATGAATGAATGAATGAATGAATGAATGAATGAATGAATGAATGAATGAATGAATGAATGAACGAACGAACGAACGAACGAACGAACGAACGAACGAACGAATGAACGAACGAACGAACGAACGAAAGAAATTCCATCAGTCTAGAGACATTACCCAGTGTTTCTCTGTTGCAATTGGGAGATCAGAATAATTATGCCCAAAAACGCCAAAGCAGCGCAAACCACCAGATTACTGTTGTGTTTGCGATTAGGAAAAATGCTAAACACATGTGGGCCTTTCTTCTTTCTTTCTTTTACTGAACTAGTCTGCAGAAACAAAAAAACAGTAAACTTATTAGAAACAAACGGATGGCCAACCAAAAAGTAACTCAGGGTTACTTTTTACAAGAGTAGCCAACTCAAAATACAAACGTTCCTGATATCTGAGTCTCATCTCATACTCAAAACACTACAATTAAATTTATAAATACATAACCACAACATATAAAAGAAAGAGATCCACAGAATGTCACTTACCAATAATGATTTGATCAGCTGTAGTTAGAAATTACACTGCTTTTCTCTTCTAAATGCTTAATAGGCGGTCTCTGTTGCCATCTTGTGGATGGACAACGTCAACCGTCTTTGCTCTGCTTAATGACAGGCTAATGGCCACCGACACACTGTCTCTATGAAATTATAAATATTTAAAATAGACACTATCCTTGTGAATAAACTGCAAAATTGCCATCTAAACAACTACATTCTCCACTAAAAAAGCCTCAAAAGTACATAATGTTGTCCAACAGCAGCAATATTTGTTAAACTGTAGAGTGTCTTCTCCATGTTGCTGTATGTGGGCAGAGTATTATAACTAGGGTGAAGAGGCTGAACGAGTGATGTTATTTCCAGAATACCGCACAGCTATCAACCAATGATATTCAAGAACTAGACAGAAATGTTGTATACCTAACCCACATTCTGACCCTAACTATATAAATGCATATAGTTAACTAATAGTAGTGATTTGAATGAATAATTACACTGTAACTTAAAATAAAAAGCAACCTGATGGTTTGATTATCTTAAACATTTATTTAATCAGTATATATTGCATTCCAGTGCAGATCAATGTCTAAGGAACAGTTCTATTTTCTTGTACAGCACCTATCATGTGGTTGTGGTGGAGGAGGATGGGTCCAGACAGGTGAGGCGGAGGGAATTGGGTCACATGGAGTGTTTCCCTGCTCCTTCGTCCCATGGGGAGACTTCAGGAGGGGCAGGTGGTACACCACCTCACTACTACACCGCTGAACTCTCGCCTAGCAGCTTGCCCGAGGCTACACCGTTCACTGTGGGGGACAA